CTCCTGTTCATATTTTTTGTCTTTGTTTATATTGGATTGTTTTCTTTTTCTGAGATCAAGAGTTGGATGCTTAACTGGGTGCTGAGCCACCAGGTGCTGTTTTCTTTTTCTTATTAATTCATAGGAGCTCTTAACAGTTCTGTATACGAATTCTTTGTTAGGATTTCAGAACCAAAGGCAAACGTCTAGGATCATAAATTTTATGTGTCAACTTGACTGGGTCACATGGTGTCCAGATATTTGGCCAAACGGTGAACCTGTGGGGGTGTTTCTGGGTGAGATTAACATTGAATGGGTAAACTGAGTAAAGCAGATTGCCCTCCTTAATGTGGATAGGCCCCATACAATCAATTGAAGACCTGACTAGAACAAAAAGGCTGAGTTAGAAGGAGCTCCTCCTGCCTGTCTGAATGGTGACACTGGTCTTTTCTGGCTCGGATTCAGATGGCAACACTGGCTCTTGGGTGTTGAGCCTCCTGGCTTTCACACTGGAACTTACACCATTAGTTCTCCTGGTTTTTAGGCCTTTGGACTGGAACTATATATTGGCTCTCTTGGGTTTCCACCTTGCTGATTGCAAATTTTGGGACTCCTCAACCTCCATAATCATGTAAGCAAATTTCTATAAATATATATATATATATATAAAATTATATGTTATATGTGTATATGATAACATATATTATAAGATACTTTTTCTTTCCTCCTTTCCCCCCTCTCCTTTCTTCCTTCCTTCCTTCCCTCCCTCCTTTCCTTCTTTCCTCCTTCGTTCTTTCTTTCCTCCTCTCCTCTCCCCTCGCCTCCCCTCCCTTCTCCTCTCCTCTCCTCTCTTCTCCTCTCCTCTCCTCCCCTCCCCTCCCCACTCCTCTCCTCTCTTCTCTTCTCCTCTCCTCTCTTTTCTTAGTTGGGTCTGTTTTTCTGGAGAAGCCTGACTAGTGCAGACTATGAACTCCAAATGAACAGATAGGACCCATCATCTTATAATCCTCCAGCCAGGGAAAAGGCCAGACCCACCACTCCATGGAAGGGCCTGTCAGGTGTTAAGGCTGGAAATTACCTTGTAGATAAGAGACCCCTCCCCTCCCCTGCCACCCTGAGGTCTTGTGCACTTCCCTACCCATCTGAACACCATTTTGGGGAGGACTGGGGGAAGAAGTCAGGAAGACTGACCTTTTTTGAGAAAGAAACCAAATCAGCTTACCCTGGAGAGATTTAAATCAAAAGAAAATAAGTAAAGTAAATGTGAGAGTTTAAACTTCCCCCTGCCCCTATTATTCAGCAGGGTAGAGGCTCATGAGAAAGAGGAGATTGATAATACAACATAAGGAGATCTGGATTTTTTTGCACATTTCATACGGAGTAAACCAGTCCCTTTACAGTCACATTAAAGTAACGTCTTAAATAACAAAGTTTTAATCACTATTCTACTAGCTTATTATACATTTTGGAAAATCTTCCCTTTGTTCAAATAAAGTTTACATCTGCTTTTATTATTTTTGACCACATTTTAACAACAGCATAGCTAAATATTAATATATCTTAATTTATTTAGTAAGGGATACCTAATGTAGGAATTCACACTCCACAGAGGGAAGAAAAAGGGCAAATTTTAACAAGGAGATGTTCATATGAATTACAAATATGGCACCATGTGACCTTACCGTTCTGAATACCCGCTGTCCCTGGCAAACCTCTGGAATGCGCCCATAGGATCCGAGCCTGTGCTTAAGATAAATACCAGGGGAGTGTTATATGACATGTCTTGATACAGAGTGGGCAAGTCCACAGGTGGTGTCTCTATAAAGTGTTTTCCAAGATTTTCTATTACAAAGTCTGTAAGAGCAAAAACCACCTGAAAGTTGAAAAGAAAAATGTTTAAAAAACAGTATGTTGGATGAGGATCCTTCATAATTCTATCCTATTTCTCCCCTTCAACTTCTCCAAGGGGGTGCCCTGTTGTTCTGCACTCATTCTCTCTTGATTAGGTATCTTTCTTTCTTCCTACTGGATTTGTGCACTACGTAACTGCCAACAGCCATGGTTCCCATGACCTCACGGAGCAAGCTGACTCTTGGATGAGAGGAAAGTCCCTTGTCATTCCATCCATCTCCAGACCTGCTATTGCCTCATCCTTGCCTCTTTTTGTCCCATCCTTCTCACATTCTCGTGGACTTTATTTTCAGTCCTTCCACTGTCTCCTTCTGCACTATTGATCTCCCCCTCTCTCCCAGATCTTCTTATCATCATACAATTGGGCTCCTCTGTCTCCTATTATTAAAACCAAACAAAAGCCTTCCCTTGATTGCTGTGCCCCTCCAGCTATTTTCTTTCTTTGCTTCCCTTCATAAGCCAGCTTCTCAGAATTGACACCATATATTGTCTCCCCATCTTCCTCTCTCATTTTACTCATCAGCCTCTTCTGGCTTTTCTTGGGAACCAGCCTCAGCCCTGATGATCATACCCCTGCCTGACCACTTCCTACACCGATCTGTTTCCTTCACGGATCCTCTCCTAGCCTGTTTACTCCATTCCTGCTCTTGCAGACCCTCTCCCTCTTAGCCCACATGGAGCTTTTGTGTGAGATGGGAAAAGGTGTCCCTTCTTCAATATACTTGTGCCAGAAAGCTGTCACGATAAATATACAAACCATACCGACAGTATCTATAATGCAAACAGTGCCCTCAAGGGTTGTGCAGTGCACATCCAGCACAACTGTAAGCAGCAGTCTTGCTTTAACGTTCGCCCTCCATTAGATGTTGACATCACCTCGTCCAAACAATTCTTGTATGTTTTTTGTTGTTATCGTTGAGAGGGGACATCTCGACCTGGTTCAGGGCCATGGCCTTGGATCGCACCCTTCTGTGGCCAGTCTGGGAAAAGATGTTTACATGCTTGCCCACTTAAGTGAGGATATATTGTGTACTAACTATAAAGGTGGCATGGACTAAAACGGACAACCTTGCAACAGGGCCAAGGGAGTTTGGAGTTTAGTTTTAGTTATGTCATTGTGTGACTAAATATAATTTCAACATCAGTTTCTTCATTATTATTTTTAAAAATATTTTTGATAGTATGATCTATTTATTTGCTTTTTACTTTGACAAAAAGTGCTTAGAGTTTACAGTAAATAACAATATACAAAGCACAAATAATTTATTTCTTGGGGCTGTTATATAAATATAAAAGTGGTAACATACTCATGAAATGTTTTTGAACTCAAAAAGTTGGAGAAATATTTCTTTTGTAAACAGGACAAACTGCCATAAATATTATATAGAGATGTAGGTTTCCAATGGCTTGATTAATGAAAGATCACGAACTATCAGTTACATGTGCAATTTCTCGTGTATGAACTGATTTTTTTTTTTTTAAAGATTTTATTTATTTATTTGAGACAGAGAGAATGAGAGAGAGCACATGAGAGAGGGGAGGGTCAGAGGGAGAAGCAGGCTCCCCGCCGAGCAGGGAGCCCGATGCGGGACTCGATCCCGGGACTCCAGGATCATGACCTGAGCCGAAGGCAGTCGCTTAACCAACTGAGCCACCCAGGCGCCCCTCGTGTATGAACTGATTTTATGAAACATTTCAAATATGCAGAAAAATAAATTTGCACAAAACACACCCTTGGTTAGGCTCAAGTCTACCTCATATATACCCAGAAATGCGTATTTCCAAGAATATGGTTAAGTACATAAAATACAGAAAGGAGACGCATCAGTTACAGCTATGGAGTTGAGGTTTCCTGTGGAATTAGCATGTAGTTTCCTGTCTTTTGATTTGGTCTGGTGCTATTTGTCCCTCCAGTGATAAGTTCACGATTCCCAGGTGGAGGAAGAGGTAATACAATAGGACTGAGTATAAGGGGTGCCTGGGTGCCTCAGTCAGTTAAGTATCTGCCTTCGGCTCTGGTCATGACCCCAGGCTCCTGGGATCGACCCAACAACCCCCTCCCCCCACCCACTCCTTGCTCAGCAGGGGAGTCTGCTTCTCCCTCTCCCTTGGCCCCTCCCCCAGCTCATACGCATGCACACGTGCGTATGCGCTCTCTCATAAATAAATAAAATCTTAAAAACAACAACAGAACTGAGTATGTGCGCATGCCTCACCACCATTGCTAAATGGTCCTCTTCACTTTCCTACTAAGCGGCTAGGAGTTCTCTGCTGTTTCCAATGGTGCATTAAAGATCTTGTCCATATAAAAGATAATGGATAACAACTGTGATCTTATTTCAAATCCAAGAGGCTTCTTGGTTTCTAGTTATTCTAGTCAGTGTGAGTGAAGCAGGCCGGCTTCCTGATGTTGGGCATGCCCCTGATGCAGCGGCCTGAATAGAGAGTGCACCCCTACGGCTCACAACACTGCTGAGCTGGGAGGCGTGTGGAAGATTTCCTGCCCTGGCCTTTCTTGTCAGTGCTCAGTTCCAGCTTCTGTGCACTCTGCATCTACAGTGTCCTTGCTTTCAGAGTCCTCATCATCCAAGGAAGTCTTGTTATCTTGCAGTGGTCTTAACTCGTAAGTGATTTTGGGGGCTTTCACTAGGTGCTTCCTGTGCCATGCCCCTGGAGGTTCCTAGGTAGTGTCCACTGACGTGCTTGCTCCTCAGGTTCCTTCCATATCACAGGTTGGAATGGATCCAATTCTGTGACCCTTCTGGAATTCTGCTGTTTTATTCTCATCAAGATTTTTATGGCAATCCTGGCAAGAATGTACGTGCAAATGCTTCAGATTTCCCACATCTATGGTCTAGGGAGTTAGGCATTTCTTGAAGACCACCCTCTGAAAATCCCACGTCTGGCTGCAGGACGGAGACTTTGTAGTCTCTTCCCTCTTTACCACCAAGTCCTTTGCTAGGAGCTCCTCTCACTTTCTTTTTAAATTGAGTTTCCCAATTCTGACCTATGTGACTCCACTATGTCTTGCTTAGAACCGTTTTCCTGGCCTGCTGCTTGATCCTTGTCTGCCTGAGGCCTTCAGAGCATTTTTTAGTTCATCTTCCCGATCAGAATCCATAGGGAATTCCTGAATTTAGGTAAATACTTTTTTGAAGCTACTGATGGGCCGATAGTGTACAAATTCACTCTTGAGAGACCCTGTGTTTGAGAATTCCCTCCTGTTGCTTTCATTGTGATGAGAAGGTAAGCTTTAAACTTTTGGAAATAATGACCCCTTGTTCATCCTTCCCGAGTGGTCAAACCTCATTTAAGTTATAGTGTATTAGACGAAGGGTAAAGACCCATTGTGCGTTATATTAGAACACAAGTGCTCATACTGTTTTTTTTTTTAAATTGTGGTAATATACACATAACATAAAATTTAGCATCTTAACCATGTTAAGCATATAGTTCATAAGGAAAATTGCATTCTGGTATTTCTCAAATTGGAAAAGCTGTGCAAATAATGCTCTGAGAAGATTTCATCCTGGGTGACTGTCTACACTGTGGTTTTCAACAGAGGGAAAACCTGGCTCTTAAAGAGACTGCCACCTTCCCAAGGTAGAGGAAGCCTGGACTGAAACACCAAGACTGTTAAGGTTAGGGTTCTCAGTAGATTTAGCCTTGGAAATCAACAATACTTTATGTGATATGTCTTGATGTCCTCATCTGTCTGCTTTGAGAATGATTGTTTCTCCTTATATCTGTTTAATCACATTAAAGGAGGGGTTCACAATATGGTTTCAGGATCAGCATCAGCATCATCTGGGAAGCTGGTAGAAATGCAGATTTTTAGCCTGTTGCCCAGACCTGTTGCAGTTCTAATGACTCTACCACCTGGTTTACTTAGAGGTTTTAAATTTAATTTAATTTAAATTTAAATTTTTTTAAGTAGGCTCCAGAACCAGCATGGAGCCCAATGCAGAGCTTGAATTATTTTGAAGCAAATATGTGTCATATTTTCTCATCCTCAGCACATGTCTCTATAATATAAGGACTCTTTAGAAAACATATAACCACGGTACCGTAATCACATCTAAACAATTAACAATAATTCCTTAACATCACCAAATATCTAGTCAGTGTTTACCTTCCCCTAATGAAATTATAAATGCCTCTGTGTGTGTTTAAATACAGTATATTTATTGAGCATTAGCAGAAATAACTATAACATAGTCCTTAAAAAAAAAGATCCTACCTTCTCTTCTTTACAACATTTAATGAGAATTAGCTTTTGGAAAGAACTTAATACTGGATGCCAAGAATTATGGCTTTTGATCTCTTTTTCTTGTGTCATGAATTCCTCTTCTGCCTTCATTTTAGAATAGCCTTCCCATTCAGCTGGGTTAATATAAGTCTCAAAAGATCCTGGAAACACAATTTAAAAAGATGCTTTAATTAGAGTTGGTTTGACTTTGAAATTAAATAAATATTTGTGGGAATTTAAAAATCTCTACATTTACTACCAGTTTTTTACCACAAATGTAAGTATATTAATCTCCCCCTCCCCAACCTAATTAAAAATAATTTAAAATTGGATCAGAAAACAAATTCAACAGAAACCACTTACAAAAAGCAAAGCTAAAACAAAAAACCAAAATAAACAAAGAGCTTAAAAATAAAAGGATGCATAGAGACACATTAATCAAATGTGAGCAAAAAGAAAATTGAAGTGATAAGAGTAACCTTGAAAAAATTAGAATTCAAGGGCGCCTGGGTGGCTCAGTTGGTTAAGCGACTGCCTTCGGCTCAGGTCAGGATCCTGGAGTCCCGGGATCGAGGCCGCATCGGGCTCCCTGCTCAGCGGGGAGCCTGCTTCTCCCTCTGACCCTCCCCCCTCTCATGTGCTCTATGTCTCTCTCATTCTCTCTGTCTCAAAT